AGTACTCCAGAAAAGCTCAAGGCTGCTGTTGCAGCTAGCCGCGCGCGTATACTTTAACGTTGCTGTTTCGACTTGTAACATAAGATCTGACACTTTGAAATATTTTTAGATCTTTACAGCCTATCGTTTTGCACGAACATGCGGCACTAGAATCATTCAGAAGGTCTATGCATTTATATGGTGGCTGTGAATACCTAGACGCTACCCGAGCAGGAGGAGGGTTTGTAGTCACAACGATCTCTCAGGCTCACACGCGTCGTTCTAGCTTTGCGAGGCACTCGAATACTTCGCAACTGGGCTGTGCGTGGAGGGTCTCATCGTAAAATCTGTATCAGAGTTTTCTTACTTCGAGAGCCAATACCTTCGCCGGTTATCGCTTGAGAAGAATTCTCTCTATTCTTTCCTCTTGAACTCTATCTCAGATTTCTGTGCTTGCGAATCAACGTCTGCTTCTACATCTCCTTCTCTGTCTCTACACTAAGCCTAGCTATGTATCTGCCTTACGAACTCTGAGCTCCAGAGCTGCGCCTCGACTCTGGCACGATCTTGTACAGGCCGCTGGCATCCTATCATATTTGTCCTCAACGCTGTCTTGTCTTGAGGTCATTGCTCGTACGGTTGAAGCTATTCTGGTGTCCGGTTTGGTTGAAGTAACACAAGATGAACGTATATATAAGCCTTCCGACAAGGTGTCTAAGATGCCATTGTCATCTTTCTTGGCCTTCGGAACGCTCTTGCTCAATAGACATATTTATATATCCAATCTGTGTCACCTTGCAGAAATTGAGTTCATTGATCTAGGGACAGCATGTGTTTTGGTAGCAGCACTGACGGTCGCAGTTATTCCGAGCAGCCTGCAAGGCCAAGTAAGTTAGGACCATTGCTGCAAACGAACACACAGCAGTTGACCAACCTTTGACAGTTGAACTCCGCCCGCTAAGCATCCAGAGCTCTTCATCAGGCCGTGTGAGGGTACCCTCAAGCGCCCACTTGTCGTCTTCATCTTCTGGCGGTGTGAGGATTCAACGAGGCTACGCGTCGTCTTCGTCGTCTGGCGGTGTAAGGCTGCCATCAAGCTATGCACCATCTTCTTCGTCAGGTGGTGTAAGGCTCCCATTGACATCGCAATCTTCATCTTCCTCGTCGGTCTACATTAGAGATCCGGTCGACTGGAACACAAGGCCCGATGTGCTGGCTCGCCACCGACAGTACAAAGCAGCGGACGTTCGACATAGTGCAGATAAAGGAAGATATGAAATAGAAAGGAGACAAAGAACGGTCGATCGAAGCCAAAGAAGTCTGACGTATACCCCACAAGACCTGACCCTCGAGAGCCACGAGTACCTCGGACCTGTGGCTGGACAGTGGCATGGTAGCGCCAACCGGTGAGTCTTTACCTTTGTACTGTTGCTCTGTTTGGTTGTTAGCGCTCAGGCTCACGTCACGCATTAGGCATGCGGATTTGAGAGAGGGTTTTCTCACTGATTACCCAAGGGCATACAGAAACAAAGCTAGTGTTCGGACGCATCGAGAAGCGGCCGAAGCTGCGCGCAACTCCGCTGCCACTGCCGAGGGGTATATGGAGGAACATACGAGATATGGGTAAGCTGAGAATAATCCGAGTCGTTCCGAATGTGCCACTCACCATTACAAAGTGGAAATTTCCAGCAATCTGACCCGTACGATAGTCTCGACTATCGGACAGGGGGATCTCAGGAAGGGGGCCCAAGAGTCCGCTATGGATACAACAAATAGTGTGACTGCTGTGAAGTATTGAATAAGGTCGGTCACTCAGCTCTGTACAAGATAAGACAAGGCAAATCGGTTGCTAGAACCTTAGACTGCGAATTGCTCAGTGCGCGTTCATTAGAAGTGTTCTTTTCAGCGCTTTTGTATTTTCGCAATCGTTCGACCGAGCATCTTGCTTTTAGTCATATATACACCTTTGGGAATTGTTGGAAACTACAGTGTACACTCAGCGATGACGAATCTAGAAACATACTATTTATGTTTTTGTATCCATGGAGGTACTCTTATACGGGTAGGATTGCAAATATAGATACCTCCTTTGACAGTCTAGGTGAACCCCTAGGATGAGATCCAAGGAGTCTAGTGTTCGGCCGTTTCCTTGCGAGGTCCTGCCCCCCTTCTCTCTACCCAGGTCCCATGTTCCTGATTAGGAAAATCCCATCTTTAAGTCTCTTCTGGTCCCAAAAGACATAGCACCGCTCTCTGAAGGGCCCGTTCTGCAATAGGGAATAAGTGCAGTCCATCCTGTTGCAAGTCGTCAAAAGCCATATCACATTAGGTCCGCCGCGAACGCTGTCAGCCTCGAAATGAACTTCTACAGGGTCGTCCACTGCCAAATTTGGGTTGACGGCAGCCACGGCGGCTCCTTAAAAGCGTCCGTGAGGAACTCTGGTCTCATATGGAGACTGTTATCCAAGTGGTGTGTTTGCCTGTCCCAAGAAGACATCTCCAATCTTCGATAAAAATGTAGACCGAACGCCATGGTATATTCCACGTCCTCTTCAAGCCAAGGGCCTAGGTGTGTTGAGCTTTCTGCTCTGTACGGCGGACGCTAATGATGGAAGAGCCATTACAGTCTTCTGACAGATTCAGATGTGCGTTTCTGTCCCGGAGATCCGGCTCCTATCCCTGAAACATACGACGATAATAGCTGCAGAAATAGTCTCGTACGCATGCTATCTCCTCGACCTCCCCTTGTTCAAACAAGCTGAGGAAGTGTAACGATTTTACCATCGATTCTGGCTTAGATGTATTATCCTCAATTTCATACCAAGTATCCGAATGGCTCTCGTCATCCGACGAGGTTGTCCAGTCTTGAAAATGATTTCTGAAAATCTCGAATTGATAGAGGTGTCGATGGAGACGGCGGAGTTCATTCGGTGAGAGCGGCACGCTGTGTGTCATCATCTCATACTGTCGCCAGTGAATGGGATTGCGGACATCGCCTTGAGAGAGAGGTCGCTAGCGGCGTGCTTTACTTGAATCTGGAGCCGGACCAGTCATAGTATGTTTTCTAGGTCTAGTCGTTCGGGTACTGTCCACATATCGCGATGATCTTTGCACTCCGAGAGCTATCCTTAGACCTTCGCTCTTCGACTTTCAAAGGTACTCGTTCAAACTCTACTTGAAATAACGGCGAGAAAGGCATCATAGAGTCCACCCGGATGGATGAAGCTGAACAGTACCCGCTCAAGGCCTGACCCCCTTTGACTCAGATACGCTCCGTGACTTGCGGGGGATGCATGCTGGGGACCTGTGGATGGCTTTCATTGCTGACCGTAGCCGGAGCAGCCGCCATACTTCTCAAAGGTATAACATCGCGGGCGGCTACGAGTAATGTCTCGGCAGTGGCCTGTAAGGGCGCTATAGCGACCACCTCCTATTTGAAGGCCTCAGTCAGCACATGTGCAGCGAGAATTCAAGTAGGAGCTTGGAGGTAAAGCTTACTCGTCTCAAATGCTAGATAGCTGAATATGGGCGGCAGCAATACCGTAACTGCTACTACCCGGCCAAAAGACCAGTTCTTCCATTGAATGAGGTCTGTAGGAGTAGCACGACTTCGCTCAACCGGTGGTCTACCAACCTCAAGGAGTTCGCGGAAGTACATGTAGAAGCAAAATAAATAACCAAGCACGATAAGCAGACCAGACAGGGAGATTATCAACTTCCGAGGCATATTGCAGCGCTGGACTGGGGTCTTAGCCTTAGAGTCAGGAGATGATCTTAACGTAGCCACGACATCAAACATGTTGGCAATCTTTTCTAGCCAAACAGGCTTCCCGCAGCTGGGCGTCCAATTTGTCCGAATGCGATTTTAGAGGAGGCCACATGGACACGAGAAGATCCTCACTAAGAATCGAAGAATGATCAAGAAGCATCAGCACCAGGACCAGGACCGAGTAGATGACGACGCGATTTGTCAAATAGATCGTATTTATTCGAGTCAGGAGTCTGTCCCCGTCTTCTGTCCAGAAGCCGTAAAAGCAAAATGTCACATGATTAATAGAACCGCATCCAGGGTAAGAGGTTCCATTGGCGAGAAGGGCTTCGTTGGACTTTAAATTAAATTCCTGCGCTATGAAGAACTTTGCCGTCGATATGCTGACCGTTACTACGATAGCTCCCATGACTTTTTGTCTGCTGCTCGTAAGCAAAAGAGAACGAACGTGATAGGTAGTGTGCCCCCAAGACAGACTACGATGATGAGATTGTAATTATTCGACAGTTGCTGTAAGTTCGTTGAGCCCAGTAGACCTGCTTCCATTACTACGATAGACGCGATTTGAATAGCTGACATGAAGTAGCATTGTGTTTGGAATTCGATGACTGCTGTAATGAGCGCGTCCATGTTCTTTGCCAGCGTTTTGTAGCTCTTACGTACTGAGACGCTCGCTCGTCTGTACTCTGGAGATCTAGGAGGGACCTTTAGGCACATGAAACAGAGTCGAACATGCCAGAAGGTGAGAAGTACGAAGATAGCCAGAGATAGCACAGCCTGCATGTGATACGATATGTATACCTGGGATAACATAGATGTCAGCAAAAAGACGTTGCTTCTGGCTCGAGGGAGAAGACGTCGTACCCCTACACCACATCCTAGATCCTGGTTCACTGTTATGTCAACGGAAATGCACAAGGCATGGAAGCATTGAAGGACTGTCCCGTTCGGATACGGATACGTCAAGGGGAATATATCATTGCCTTTCAAGATGTGTGTCCAGCCGCATTCGCTGTTAACAAAATCAAGATCCAGGTAACATTGGCAACGGGGGTCCGACAGGCAGGCATTCTGGTACCCCGAAAAACAGCTGCCTACAAGTCTGGTAACGTTCGTTTGAGTCGCATCGATGGCGTATCTCTGAGCAACATTGCTTTCGGCTTCTGTTGCATTCCCACTAGACACGTGCTGCAGTATGCTCGGATATGCAAGACAATTCTGAAAGTTACTGGGAGATGCAAAGACTTTGTTGACATCAGAGCAAGTGGCACTACAATTCTTCATTCCCTCTTGCGAACAACCATCTGTTATGAGAGCGAGTCCATTATAATCAAAGAAAACCGTTGCAGCATCTTGAATGCCCCAAGGAGAGGAAATTGGTGTTAACTCGGTAATTGCTGTGACCACGTATGCAGGGTCGGGATAAGCGTCAGGATAAGTCATGAGATAGAAGAGTGTTGATTCTTATAGAGTGAAGCTCAGAGACGAAGGGTCAAGCAAGAACGCTCAAATAGACACGGTGGGGGCTTCAGCGTTAATAAAGGACCTCAAAACACAGCATGTTCCGCTGCGAAACTCCAAGGCGGGTGGAACGACATTTTGATTGGACTGTGCTCTCTCACATGCAGCATACTGCACTGTATTTTCAGCTTTGCTACAGCGGTTCCAACCACTGTTACCTATTAAGCTGTATGAGTAGTTGCATCCAATGCTCGAGCCGGGCCAAGACTTATGCTTTGCCAGGGCATGGAACAAGCAGATGTAGTTCGCTCAGGGTGATCGATCAAGAAGATTGGCCGATTCCAGGTGGGTGTAGTGGCATGCCATGCATAACGAAATCTAAAAATGGAAGAAAAGGATGTCAAAGGCTTGGTACGTGTAAACCATGAGGCTATGCAATTCTCTGTCGGCGGTCAAAAACTTCAATTCCTGAAACTTGGGCGGGAAGGTCTCGTTTGGTGTATAAGCAGCACCCTTGGTAGCACCCATAGGCAACATCCCAGCCATTCATGGAATAGTATCGAATGATATACACCAATAGATAGCCTCGCCAGTCGCCCCTGAAAGGATTGCCCTGATTTGCCCTACCAATGGTACCCCACCAAGTATTTGGAGACCATTATACCACCCCATAAGCTAGATATGGAGCAGCCGCAAAACCCAAGGCCAAATTGTTGTGTTGCCTGACAGGTGTAAATATTTAGTAGCAGTGGTGATATAAGTAGCTATCAAACCAAACTTACGGTAAATTGGAATACAAATTTGGTGGTGTTGCTAGTAGGGCTGAAATCGGTAATCAATTATTTCAGGGGCTACATGGAACCCTCAGGATTCGGGGACAGCAGGCAGTAGCAAGCTACTACGATCGCTAAAGGAGAGTGCTCTTTAAATATGACCACTATTTGAGACCTACGACCAGATGCTCAGAGTGGTCAATTCGCCATGTCTATGTCCTTGTTTGGCAAGTGCTTGTTTGTCGCCATTTCTTCGTACAAGAGAGAGTATTCCTTCGTATACGCATTGCCTTGGCTCCCTGCAATGAGCATTGACACCGAAGAGCGGCAACGGCTTCTTTGCACGCGGTCGATTTAAGAGATGTTACCCACTGCTTCCACACTTTCAAACCAGTGCGATGTCTTATTCAATGAAGATAGTCATGAGGATTCTCATGTAGAATGCTCCATTGGTTCAATCTCTCTTTATCCCACATGACATACCCCCACGTCCTCAGACCCGCCTTATCAGACTGGTAATAGCGAATATCAACCTTGTCCTCTGCAGACCATATCCATGCCGCGTTTGGAGCATCCCTATCGCAGTCACTGTGAAACTCTTGGAAGGCTCGATCGATACATGCATCGTACATAGGACTGTCCCAGAAAGGGCCATCGTCCTCTAAGGCGCTAGAGAGGGACAGATCTGAGAGACCTATATTCTCTCGGAGCATCTGCATCTGATCTTCGTGAGAAGCTTTCATCAAGGTGCAGAAGAAGCCCAGGCCAAGGGATAGGTAGTATTCGTGACAGGATTGGTCGTCGTACACTGACAATATGTCAGCTCTCCGACCTACTTCAAGTTTGAGCTGAATCCACCATTTTCTGACTTTCGGACACCCATTCGGAGGAATCGTTCCACGGTGCAGCGCGATAATGGCTTTCCCTTCCCGTCATTTCCTGCCATTCCGACTTGCATTGTTTGTGTAGCTCATCATACCGATGTATGATGTAGTCCCGCACACAAGCTATTTCTTCTACCTCCCAGGCCCTGAAAAGAGCGAAGAAGAGGAACGACCTATCCTGGTCATCGAGGGACCTGATCGAATCTCTTTGTACAGCGAGACGAGCTCTGTCCGGGTCTCGGTCTCTATGCCTCTCGATTTGCTCGTTGTGGTAAAAATCTGACTCTCGAAAGAGAACGGTGAAGAGCTCGTAGCGGTAGAAGGCTCGATGGATTCGACGCACCTCATTTGGCGAGAGTGATGTACGATGATTTAGACTGTGACCTGTGACTGGGTGCGTTGACAGCGCATAATCACAGAAGTCTTTTGTGACATCGATTACCGACAGATGAAACTCCCATACGTTTTCTTTGATGCTTGGTTCGAGTTGCTTGAGAGCTACATGCAGTGAGTCTCTCGCGGTCTTGTACTGCTCGATGAAGACTTTCATTTGGGGCACATAATCATCATAATTCCGTGGCAGCTTCAGCGCGTTTACGATCGCCAAGACGTCGAAGAGCACATCTGGATGGAT